TAACAGTAAACCTACCAATCTGTGTATGTACCTGACTGAGTAGAGTAATTTCTGCTAATAAAAGCTTGTAACAGTAAACCTACCAATCTGTGTATGTACCTGACTGAGTAGAGTAATTTCTGCTAATAAAAGCTTGTAACAGTAAACCTACCAATCTTTGTATGTACCTGACTGAGTAGAGTAATTTCTACTAATAAAAGTTTGTAACAGTAAACCTACCAATCTGGGTGTGTACCTGACTGAGTAGAGTAATTTCTGCTAATAAAAGCTTGTAACAGTAAACCTACCAATCTGGGTGTGTACCTGACTGAGTAGAGTAATTTCTATTATAAGACTTGCCACAGTAAACCTACCAATCTAGGTATGTACCTGACTGAGTAGAGTAATTTCTGCTAATAAAACTTGTCACAGTAAACCTACCAATCTGGGTGTGTACCTGACTGAGTAGAGTAATTCCTACTAATAAAACTTGTCACAGTAAACCTACCAATCTTTGTATGTACCTGACTGAGTAGAGTAATTTCTACTAATAAAACTTGTCACAGTAAACCTACCAATCTGGGTGTGTACCTGACTGAGTAGAGTAATTTCTACTAATAAAACTTGTAACAGAATTACTCTACTCAGTCAGGTACACACCCAGATTGGTAGGTTTACCTACTAATAAAACTTGTCACAGTAAACCTACCAATCTGTGTATGTACCTGACTGAGTAGAGTAATTCCTACTAATAAAAGCTTGTAACAGTAAACCTACCAATCTGGGTGTGTACCTGACTGAGTAGAGTAATTTCCTACTAATAAAACTTGTCACAGTAAACCTACCAATCTGTGTATGTACCTGACTGAGTAGAGTAATTCCTACTAATAAAACTTGCCACAGTAAACCTACCAATCTGTGTATGTACCTGACTGAGTAGAATAATTTCTGCTAATAAAACTTTCCACAGTAAACTTACCAATCTGGGTATGTACCTGACTGAGTAGAATAATTTCTATTATAAGACTTGCCACAGTAAACCTACCAATCTAGGTATGTACCTGACTGAGTAGAACAATTTCTACTAATAAAACTTTCCACAGTAAACCTACCAATCTAGGTATGTACCTGACTGAGTAGAATAATTTCTGCTAATAAAACTTGTAACAGTAAACCTACCAATCTAGGTATGTACCTGACTGAGTAGAACAATTTCTACTAATAAAACTTTCCACAGTAAACCTACCAATCTAGGTATGTATCTGACTGAGTAGAGTAATTCCTACTAATAAAACTTTCCACAGTAAACTTACCAATCTGGGTATGTACCTAACTAAGGAAGGTAAGTATCTCTACTGGAATATGCCATTGTTACCTTACTATTCTCTGTAAGCACACAACTGGTAAGGTAAATTGTTGCAAGTGAAATGTGACACTTCAGGTGTAACTGGAAAGGGTAGTTGATTCTGATAAAATGTTAAGCTAAATAGAAATTAGATGACAAGATTAAAGTATACTGGTAGTTGCAGTTTTTTTTTCTCATTAAAATAAAGACTGGTTACTATGCTTTTAGAACAAGTATTTAGTTTTAAAGATTTATAATTTATTGTTTTCATGAATTATACAGGCTAACTTACCAAGTAAAGTTTAACTGTTTACCAACTAACATTTAAACTTGATTTCCTAAATTAGTTATGGATACTCATCAAAACTTGCTAAGGTTGCAATAAGTACCTGGAGATAATTTAGCAAGTAAAGGTTAAACATATGTTATGATAAGTATCCTGAGCTAATTTATTAAGTAAAGGTTAAACATATACAATCTAATGTTATGATAAGTATCCAGAGCTGATTTAACAAGTAAAGGTTAATCATATGTTATGATGAGTATCCTGAGCTAATTTATTAAGTAAAGGTGAAACATATACAATCTAATATTATGATAAGTATCCAGAGCTAAGTTAGCAAGTAAAGGTTAAACATTTACAATCTAATGTTATGATGAATATCCAGAGCTAAGTTAGCAAGTAAAGGTTAAACATTTACAGTATGATGTTATGATGAATATCCAGAGCTAAGTTAGCCAGTAAATGTTAAACTTTTACAATGTAATGTTATGATGAATATCCAGAGCTAAGTCAGCAAGTAAAGGTTAAATATTTACAATATGATGTTATGATGAATATCCAGAGCTAAGTTAGCAAGTAAAGGTTAAACATTTACAATGTAATGTTATGATGAATATCCTGAGCTAAGTTAGCAAGTAAAGGTGAAACATTTACAATATGATGTTATGATGAATATCCAGAGCTAAGTTAGCAAGTAAAGGTTAAACATTTTACAATGTAATG